GGGGGAGGGGAGCCACGCCCCCGCCGGTGGCCCCATGGGCACGCCCCCTTCGGCGGAGGCCACGCCCCCTCCCCGGGGAGCCCCCTGCGCGAGCCGCTCGGGTCACGCCCCTTTAGGCGCGGGGGCGTGGCCTGGCCTCGAGTCACGGTTTGGGGGGGCCGTGGGGGCAGGGTCCCTTTGGGGTCTTGTGCTCGGATGATGCGTGGGGTCCGGTCCCCCCTTTTGGGATCTAGGTCCCCCACGGCATGTGTGAGCCCCCAGCTTTGGGCTGTGCCACAACCCGTCCCCGTGAGGTGTGGACCCCATTTTGGTTGATACTTCCCAGTGTAGGCCCTCCCGCCTTGGGTCGTGTACGCCCCCGTGTGTGGGTCGTGGGCCCCATTTTGGTTCCTTTTGGGTTGTGTACTTTTCTCCCCGGTGTGAGATGGAAGCTCCTTTCTTTTGGGTCACAGCCCTTCCCCCTGTGTGGACCCCGACTTTTGAGTTGTGGTTCCCCCCCGCACACCCCATCCCGGTGTGAGATGTGGATCACCTTTGGGTCGTGCCCCTCTCCATAACATGGTTTGTGTGCTCCCCCTTTGGATCAGCACCCCGCATGGAATGCAGGCGCCCCCTCCTTTGGGTCTTGCCCGTCTTTAGCATGGGAAATGCCCTCCCCACCCGCAGCAGGGGAGCCACCTTTGTGTCCCGGTCTGTGCTGCCTCTGCTCTGCACTCTGTGTGCTTTTCACACAGGGTGAAGTCAGGGGGGCTTCACACCCTCTGCTGTGGGCTTAAAAACACCCTGGCTGGAATTGTTTTCCAGAATCCGCTCTCCCGGGTGACCTGACACAGCCCAGCTTCTCCTGGGGCCTCTCCCAGCACAATGTTCTGTTTCTTCATCCCCTCTGAGGTGTGGATGGTTGGGTCTCCGGCAGTGCTGCCCCTGTGGGGCCTTGGATAGGTGTGGGTTCTCACGTATCCCCAAGTGGGAGGAGGAATTCCAAGGCTGGCCGTGCTTTGTGGAGCGAGCCATGTTTTGTTGTGGTCGAGCCATTTTGGCGTTGTCTCGTGCTGCGTGTGTGAGTGATAGACAATACAAACAAAGCAAGGGGTGCTAAAGGAATCCTTTCGTTCAAGGAGCAGTTATGAACCAGGAAAAGCAAATGTGTCCAAAGGTACTAAAATGAGCCCAAATCAGGAATTTTTGTAATAAATGAGTAAAGCTTGGTAGTAAACTAAATCCGCTTTCCCCCCATATATCAGGTGCTTCCAGTCAAGCACCTGAGTGCCTCCTCTGTTTTTAGCAATGTTCAAACACGAGGTTCTTTTTCTCTGGAGGATACTGAGAGGCAATGCTGCTTCTCTATGTGAATTACTTCATAAGAGAACCTCAGCTTTCAAATGTACACAGCAGATTGTTCTATCTTGAGAGGAATAAACCCCCTGAGTAGTGCAAGGTGATCAGGCTGCTATGTCCCACTTCATCAACAGGAAATCTTTCCATGAACTTTTTAAACATTAAGGAAAAAAAAAAAAAAAAAGGTCAGTGTAGGAATTTCCAGAATAAACTGTTATTTCCAAAAATCCTTACAGACTCTTGTCCCCATTGAGCCCACAAAGATAAATCCATCAGAAGTCTGTAAGAGGTCCAGAGGATGTAGAAAAATGTACACATAAAGGAAATTCCTCTGATTGCATGTTTTCATATTTTACATGCTCCTTATCTGGTTTCTTTCAAGTTTTTTCCAAAATGTTGTGGTTTGGTGGAAGTTTGTTAAGGAGAAGCTAATGAGATTAAATACAGTTCTTACATATAAAGCTAGTTACATCCTTATTCAAGAATTTTCTGATACAACCATTAATATGCTTTAATTTGCAGTATTAATGGCACATAAATGTTAGAGTTAAACCACAACCATGTTTCACAATGTGGTTACCTATTTAATAGTAATTTTTGTGATAATTTAAATGGAAACTGTGTAAAAATTTCACTTTACCCCTTAAAAACAAACTTGAATTGCACCTCTACCTTGGGTTTTTAATTGCTTTTCAGTATGAGAAAGCAATGAAATATTTGTGTAGCAGTGCAAAAGGAGGAGAAATCCACATCTAAGTGAAACTGCTTTATAGCAGTGCAATATACGTGTGCAACTTGACCTCCTTTCATCTCATGCTAGCGTTTGGTAAATGTTTCTGTTACAGAATATGAAATTTGATACTTTGTGTTGCTTTGAGGAGATACTTTAGCATTAAAAACGCTGCTTTGTGTCTGAATATCTCGGGTCATACTCCCCCCATCTCACATCCATCACCTCAGGTGATGCCCTCATCAAAGCTCTGGTTAAGTGTCTGTGCAGCCACTGGCAGGATTGGATTTATAACCTGCTGAGGGAGGTATAATGAGCAGATTCAGCAATCTGATGAGTGTTTTGATTGGAAAATGGTTGCAGTCGTTTATGACATTTACCCTGCCTTGTAATTAATTCTCAGTGTCAGCGTTTTAGGCACTTCTGCAGATAGAGGCTGGAGAGAGAATGTGGGGGAAAGGGTGAAATTTGGGATGCAAAGTTCCTGATAGATTTTATTAGACCATGACACAAGATGATTTACACAAATTCTTGAAGTGATTGGAAGAGAAAGATTACAGGACTTAGCCAGAATGTTTGTGTGTTGACAAGAAGGTGGCAATTTCAAGCAGATTGAGGCTCCTGCCTAGGAAGTGAGATGGATGGAACCTGAGCAGTGCAGAGGCTGGAAGGGCACGGAGCAGAGTGGGATGTGAGGAACCTCTGCAGAGCTGGGATTGGGATGGATGTGAGGCTGATGAAGCAGTGTGTGTGTGTTCTGTGTGCTGCATCTGTCACGTGCTGGCGAGCTCTCAGCTGGGTTTTTCCTCTTGCAGTGTGAGCAAAGGGAAGTGTGGTGGCTCCTCCATCCCTGATTTTTCATCTCCCATCCTGCTTGTGTTTGTGCCTTTTAGCTCAGCAGAGCTTTCTTAGAGCATCCCAGAAAGGGGTTCAGCTGCACTGACCTACTTAGCTTTGCTTGATTAATTAAGCTGCTGCATTCTGCTCATTGATGATGGCACTGTACTCGATAGCCATTAGAGGGGTTGTACAGTTCTGGGTGTTGGAAAAGACTCCTTGAAAACAGAATTTGGATCATTCAAAAGGGACATTTCCAAGTGTGTTCCACACCCTGTGCTGTTGTCATTCCTGTCTTAACATTTTATCTTCTGTTGATAAAGAGAAAGCTTCATTCTGCAGGGATAGTAGTTGTAATATCCAGTGTACTTGAACCTTTCTCCCTCTCCCTAGATTTTCTCCTCTAAAATGTTTATTGGAGGGTCTCAATATGACTTCTTTCTTTCTAGATTCCGGAAGTTACAGTCAGTCTGGGGGCCAGCAGAGGTATGTGAGGATTTTTGTTTTGCTGTTAGCAATTACATCTGCAAACTTAAAGACCATTTAGTATTCCCAGCATGATGAGTGATTGTTCAGGATAGAGTATGGATAGGTTTTTGGAATTAAGGATGCAGAAAGCTTGCACCTGAGCCTTTCTCAAGATGTCTTATAAAACAAGAGAAATAGGTCTGTATTCCTGAATAGAAGACAATAATCATGTAATGTAAATGGATGTAAATTGGAATGACATCTTGTAATAGTAAGAACTTTTGAAATTACATGAATATAGAGAAATGCTTTTCATATGACTGCCTTAAGATTTTAGCCAAAGGTTATGATATTTGTTATATGGCCCAAGGCTGCAGAGCATGTTTTAATCAGTGAGAGTTTTTATGGAAGTATAAAAATCATGGCTAATGCTGCTTGTGCTAATGAAGATCATGAGGTTTTGTGTACGTAGTACCACACCTGTTTTGGAATGGAGAGAAACTTAGAGACACCAAAAATACCTTTCCTTTCCAGCCTGTGGGGAGGGCACTCTTAAGTGTTTCCTAAATGCATTTTTCTCTTCCAGCTACTCATCCTATGGCAATCAGAGCAGTCAGAATTATGGACAAGGACAGGTATGTTGAAAAAAACATTGTGTCTTTCAAAGCAGATGTTCCTTGAGTAAAAATAATTGTTCCTGGGCCAGGAAGAATTCCAGTCTCAGCTGTTCTTGATGTTTGCAGTTGTGTCTAGCCAAGGAAAACTGTAATTTACTGCTGTGGAAGTTACACTTATTTGAGTACATTCTTGAAATTACAGGGATATTCTGGTTATGGGCAGAGTGGAGACAATTCCTCCTATGGACAGAACTATGGAAGCTATCATGGGAACTATGGACAAAATCAATCAGGTTTGGCTAGCTTGTTACATTCATTGGCAGGATTTAAAAGGTGAATATTGACTAAAAATTTTCTTCCTGGATTTCCAGGTTATGGGCAAGATTCCCAGGGATATGATGATGAATCCAGTTATGAAAATCAGAATCAGAGCTCATACAACCAGCAGTCCTATGGCAGCCAGGGGCAGCAGAAAGGGTCATCCAGAGGGTAAGGAAACCAAGTTTACCAGTGTCTATTTCAAGTATTGTCTAGTAGTTGTACATTCTTAACTAGAGCTATAACATATTTCTTGCTAATATTGCTGAGAAAAAGACAAATATTTGAGGATCCACATCCCCAAAACATTTTTAATGTCTGGAAGGACAGGAGGTACAGGAAGAATATTTCTTTATGTGGGAAGGATGGGTGTAGTTGTTTTGACATCAAGCTGTATGGGTACATACACTTTAGAAAGTTTTTGGATTGTGGCTTCAATGAAGAATAGACTTGGCAGAGTGTTTTGATTAGGAGAAAGACCTATCAAATCCCTCTCCAATCACATTCTTTTGTATAAACTTACAGTGCTCTTTTATTAACTTCAAATAAGCTCTTAGCAAGGGAACTCGTAGCTGCTCTCAGATTGCAGGCTGCTTATCTGGCTCAGAATGCCTTTTCATGAGAGAGAAAGGATTCAAAAATGTCATTTTTTGGTTTTCCAACTAAGTAGAACTCTCAGAACATTGTGGGTTTATATCCTCATCAGGAAATTAAATGTGCACTTGCATGCTGCACTTTGTTCTATTGCAAATGTATTTTACTTGTGATGTATACCTTCACTGTCTGCTTTCCAGGCTTTGTGCCTCCACCCCGAGGTTACTGCTTGTGTTAGAGCTTTACTGAGGATCATGTGATTCCTTTTAAATACTCTGTTGAGTACTAACCCTCATTCTTCTGTCCAAGGTCCAAATGGTTTTGTACTTTTTGCAAGGTGATAAAAAAAATCTGGACTTGAGCAAACCTCTACTTGATCTCTGCTTTTTTAGTTCTTATTTTAAAACATTTTAATATTTAAAAAAAATCTTAATCTGCCAGCAATAGGTGCTTTTACTCAGATGTCATTTTTGCATCCATAAGAAATGCAGGTACAGAGTTTTGTTTTGTAGTTTTTAACTCTGTAGATGTCCAGTAGAATAGAAATACAGCACACAGGTTCTTCAATAAGTTGTTTGTGATCTAGAAAATGAAGATAAGATCTTGAAGGGAAGCTTCTCAATGTAGGGTTGTAACAAATAAGGAGAAACTGAGAAATAAAATGGAAGCAGCCTTGAAGAGGGTGGCCACAAAACTGTAGTTGTCACATCCTAGGGGAGGGAGCAAATAGTGGGTGCTTGCAGCAATGCTTCCTTTGTTGGTAAAGGTGTAAAGGCAAAGGCAGAGCTGACTTTCTTGAAGTGAAGATAATAACGAAAATCTTCACAAGCTGTTTACCCCTGGGATTAGCAAGGTTAAAGCTGAGATCTGGGCTAGAAGTGGGAGAGAGCAGATTAAATGGTATTTACACAGAAGGGATATTTTGGGGTTGGTTAGACCAAACACACTGGATCTGAAAGTGCCTTTAAAAGCTGGTGGAAACTTCCTGAAGGCTCTTGCATTTTTTCTCTTTTTCTGAGATACTTTCACTAGCAAGTAAGATTGCCAAAGACTGGAGAGTGGCAGATCTAGTGCCTCATCTTTCAAAAAAGAGTGGAAGCAGGGAGGGGGAAGAGAAGAAAGGGTGGCAGAGGCCAGAGATTCTTTTCAGTTACTGAAAAAATAAGACAGCTAAGGCACAACTAAGTACCTGGGGAAAACAAAGGAATGAGTAACAGCCAGTGTTCCCTGGATGCAATTTATTCCTCATAAATCTATATTATGCCTTGCCATGAAAGGCTGAGAGAACTATTCTCTCATATATCTAGATTTTCAAAATACTTCAGTTTCTGCTTCAGATGCTGAAGTAGCTTAGGAAAATGTGTAGGTGAGATTCCCTTGTGATTGCTCTAAAGTTATTAATCTTAATCTTAGAAAAGATTTATGACTCCCTCTTGGAATGTAGAGCTGCATTGTGTTGGAGTATCCTGGATGTGATGATGCTCGGTGTTTCTGATGAGGGTTGCTGGGATAGTGTAGATGGCACTGAGGTGAGAAGAACCACAGATTCAGAGGCCACCAGAACACTTAAAAAAATTCTTGATAATTGTAGAATGCCCAGAAGAAGAGAGGCTGCAATTCAGTGAAAGCGAAATGTTGGGATTTTTTTAGGCAGCAAGTCACAGCTGCTCTACGTGAGCACCGAGGCTCTGCCCTGCAGGTCCAGAGGGAAGGATTTGGTGTTCAGCAGGTCACAGGCTCTCCATCAGCCATTGATGGTGCTGTGGAGAGGAGGGAAAGCAAGTCTTGGACTGGGACATATGAGAGGGGTGATGCTCCTAAGTTATGTAATGTACTGCCATTAGGAAATTTTAGCAATGTCATGAATTTTCAGCCATTATTTTGCTCTCTGTTCTGTGAACATTTAGCTATTAATTCAAATTCTGTTTGTTTTAAGTGGAAGAGGCTCTTATGAACAAAAGTCAAACTATGGTCAGCACCAAAGCTCTTATGACCAGCAGTCAAGCTATGGACAAAACCAAGACTCTTATGACCAGCAGTCAAGCTCCTATGACCAGCAGTCGGGCTATGGCCACCAGGGCTCATATGACCAGCAGTCGGGCTATGGCCACCAGAGCTCTTACGACCAAAAGTCAGGCTATAACCAGCACCAAAGCTCATATGGCCACTCCCAGCAATCCTACCAGTCTCAGAAGGGAAGCTATAGCCACAACAGCCAAGGTAAAATTCACGGCTTAGATTCAGTATTGGCTAATAACATTGAGCAGAAGCTCTGTGAAATGGTTGGATTTCCTTCTGCAAGCAGCTGATTAGATGAACAGTTCATTTTTTTTTCCCATGTTGATATTCTTGGGGGATGTTTTATTTGTTAAGGCTTTCAAAACATTTTAGTGAGATTAAAATCTCTTGGGCCCCAAAATGGTTGCATTTAGGGGTGTTAGAACAGCCTTGCAGAACTCTGTCCCTGAGTTCTGCAAATTCTAGATGGGATTTTTTTTCCCAAGCTATTTTGAACCCTCTTCCTGCACGAGGATGACATGTCTTGATCAGTCATGTAGAGCTTTTGCACTTCACATTCCAGCTTTTATGCTGTGTAGGTGAATTGTGAGATAGAATGAGAAGTTTAAGATGAAGCCTTTTTTTTGCATTAACTTCACACCAGCAGCACAACCCACTCTATTTATCCTTGTTCTGTCTTCAGTGATGTCTTTTGCAAGCTGGGAGGGCTGTATGGAAGTCCAATGGAAAATATATTTTAGACAAGATGTGTTTAATGTTTGGAAAATGGAGTGTAATTACAGAGTGATTTTTACATTCTGATACACTCAGTGACCCTGGAAGTCAAGGGAGATAATGGAGCCAAGTTTGGTTTGGCTTTTTTTTTCCTTTTTGGCACAGAGAATGTCAGAGAGATTTAGGAATTGATACATGTCAGATATAGATGGCAGAGTTAATGACGAGGAGGTGGGAATTCCAGGGTGGGAATTTTCACTGTGCTGCAGTTTGCACTACAGTTGACTCCTGTTTGGTTTGACTCATTCTCCCAGATGATCGCCGTGAAAAGAGCAGGTATGGAGAAGATAATAGAGGATATGGCGGGTCACAGGGAGGAGGTAGAGGGGGATATGACATGGATGGAAGAGGTCATATGTCTGGATATAGGTAAGTGATCTCATTCCAGTGCCTGCAGCTCCTTACCCTTGTTTCCTATTATTTAGCTGGTTTTAATTTTTGTTTATTATATGTCTATTCCTAAGGTGGTTCAGGTTTAGGTTTCCAAAACAGATTTCTAAGATTAAACCTTTCTGCATTGCTCAGAAATGGGTTTTGCCTAGGGGAACAGCTTTTAGATTCACATAGATTGAGACCAAGCATTTGATTGTTTTGACACACAGCTGCATTTTATTTGCATGAGTTGCAGTACAAAAACTGCCCCAGCCCATCACTTGTTTTCAGTGACGAGAAAATCAACAGCCAGTGATTGAGAAAAATTTATAAAATTCATACCTAAGGTAGCTCACATTTTATCAGGGAAATATTTTGGCCTTGAATAATTTAGTAGTAACATTACTTGTTCTTTGTTGCTTTTCTTCAGTTTTAAACTTCTATTAAAATACATGTATTTTATTATTGATTTATTTGTCAGTCTAATCACATTTATTTTGGGTAGATCTGAAATACTAACAGTGCTGCCACCCCTTTCCCCAATGCCTTAGGCCTGTACTGTCAAGAAGATTTATGCACATATTTAATTCTGTGCTTGCAGATGATTTCATGCAGAGGTCTGCAGTTGGCACCTTGGCTTTACAGCCTGCTGAATTAAACATATGACATATTATTTATTAATAACTCACACAACTAGCTCCTCTTTGTGTCCCTCTGGGTGGTTGGAGGTGCAGAGGGCTCAGTGATGCAGGGCAAGAATGTTGAAGCTTCCAGAGAGCTTTGAGGTGTTGCTTGTCAGCACCACTTACCCTTCAAAAGGCTGCCCAGCTCTGGGTTATTCCTAAACTCCAGATGAAAAACTCTATAATTATACAGTGTTTTCTGTTGGAACAGCTCTGATTTAAATAAAAGAATCCACTACTTGGTTTTATTTTTAAATCATATTTAAAATCTGTCTACTTCTGAGATGCTCCTAAATTGTACTTAATGGCTTGTTTATAATGATGTAGGGGGATCTTACCTCTTCTAATTAGGTGTGGTAGCACAATTAGAAAATCATAAAAGTGTCATTTTTATGTTTGCTGGGGTTTTATATAATATAAACTTAATGCATATTTTTCTGTAATATTTTAATAATAAACACAAATTTATATGCTATAAATAAACATAAATATATATAACAATTCTATAATATATAGTACCTCACATAAAACAAAAATAACAAGTAAAATAATTTCAAAGTAAATTTTAGTTTTAGTTTTAAATTTTAGTTAAATTTTTTTTAAATTAGATTTTCTTTGTGGATGAGGATTTTCCATATTCCTGTGATAAAAGCTCCTTTATTAAAGAACTTTAGAGCTGAGCCCTTTCCAATAAAAGCAATGAATGTGAGCTTCAAAAAACACACTGCTGATAGATTTTGTCACTTTGAAACAAACTTGTGTCTTTGCAAAATGAAGTCAGATGTATTAATGTCTGTGAAAATAAAGCCTCTTGCCAAGTTTGTCTAAAATAAGGAAACTTTTGCTCACACATCCACATAGATTATGGAGCTTCATTGAACTGGGAAGCCAAAAGAAGGGAAAGAGGGGAAGTGAATGAAGAAGTGGAGGAAAATTCAGGGAAGTGGGAAGGCATTAGAAATTCTGTCTGCTTCTGTTAAGTGATATTTGCTTTAACGGTATTTTTTGTGGAAATTTTCTGCAGCTACAGTGTTACATATCTTTATTCAGTGTTTTTACATAATTGTGCAGAGGATTCTTCTTCTGACATATGTATTTTACCAGACATGCTTATTAGAAAAGTCTAAAAGGTTAAATTAAATAATAAACTCTATAATGAAGGGGAAAATAACTTGTAATAAGGTAAGAAATCATCTTTAGTCCTGCAAAAATGTGGGGTTTAAGGGTAGGGGTTCTTTGGGGGGGAGTTATATTCTTCAGTTTCTCTTATTTATTTATTAATTTCTTGGGGAAAAATACATGAAGGAATATCAGGTTAATCTTCAGTAGCTACAATTTTCAGTTGTTCTGGTCCCCTTTTAATGCTAAACCATGAAAATTCCATAGCCATCAGGAGATCATCTAAAAATCTTGTCTGCATGGATACTTTAATGATGATGTAATCACAGAACTCCAAAATGCTTTTGGGTTGGAAGGGACCTCAAAAATCATCTTGTTCTACCCTCTGCCATGGGCAGGGGCACTTTCCACTACCCCAGGGTGCTCAGAGCTCCATCCAGCCTGGTCTTGAACACTTTGGGGATGGAATAATAATGGAGGCTTTGACTTTTATAGTGCTTAGAAAATAACATGTTAAAATTGCTCCTTGACTTTACAAACAAATTCACATCAAATGTGAGACCACAATGAATTAGTCTCTTGTTCTTAGCTAATATTAATTCTTCCTTGACTGACATTTAGACACAGGGAGAACTCAATGCAGCCTTAGAGGTGTAGTTTTATTCTGATAACTGGAAGGACTTGGACATGTCCTGTACTGAATGCTTTTAGCACTTATTTTTCTTTTGTGCCTATGCAAAGTCACCCAGCACTGAGAAGAAAATATCTTTTGAGAAATTCCTGTTCAGATTCCTTAGCTGATATAAGTCCAGTAGAGAATACACATTTTGTCATGTCTCAGAAGTTCACATTTTAGTTTTGCTACCTTAGGGTGTCAGAATTAGCCTAGAGATTTTTTTTTTAATGGTCTTGAATTACATTTTTTGGGATTTTAGTAGAATTTCCCCACCCTATTGTTTTGAATGATCTCACCAATTTTCATTCTGGCTAAGAGGTAAAATATTTCCCTTCATAGTAGAAGAGTGTCATCTTTTTGTTAGAAAGCAGGAACAGCAGGTCTTGAGAACGCAGAGTTTAAGATATTCACCCAAGCTTTTTAAGAGTCCTGGTCTGAAAAACAAAGAATTAATGGTTACTGTGGGTGGGGGACTGGATTGTTTTGGTAAAGGCTGTAAGTGGGGAACACAGGAGCGAACAAAACACATGAGAGAAGCTTTGCTTTTGACTCTGCTCACATAAACTGTGCTGGGAGAACCACAGAGATGCAGTTTAGAAAGGATTTGTCATTGTGTTAGGATTTGTCATAGAAATCCTGACTTTGCTCAGCATAGATTATTTTTTCTCTCTTGTGCAGATTTATGGTGATCTACTATAAACAAAAGCTACCTATGCAGCTTAATGGTTGTGTCAGCTATTAGGAATGGGAGTTAGTGTGATATAAAGAAACTACAGTGTAGTGCAGATGTGTTTTACAAGTGTGGTTTGTGTTCAGAATTAATATTTTGATTTATAACAGATACAAGCTTTGCCTTATGGAGACTTTGGAAAAATGTGAACAGAGGCAATAAATATAAGCAAGGGAAAAAGCCCCATCTGTCAGTGACTGTTGGTGCACTAAATATTTCTTTCTTGTTTGTAAAATACACTCTTAGGTGTTAGGGACACACTTGGTGAGACAGAGACACGTTGGAGGCTGAAATTTGGTCCCTGAATTCTCAGTGCTGCTTCTGCCATTATCTGATATTTATAAAACTGCTTTTCTTGTATGCTGAGCTCCTCATATTACCTGTACTTTAATTTAAAGAGCTGTTCCCAGCTGGATTAAGCAATATCCAGATGAAATCCAGTTACAGTCTAGTAGGGGATGATAAATCTATGATTGAATATGGGAGAAAAGAACAGCTGAGGACTTCTCTTTCATAGCATCAAGTTCACACACCGAGTGGTGCATTGTCACATTCTGGCTGCCTGCAGTTCAGCCTCTTATTTATTATCTTAGTTGGTATCACTGCTGAATTTTAACTGCCTGCTCATGTTTCTAGCATAGGATATTAAGACTCTAAAATCCATCTGGTCACTCATCTCTGAGGTCTGTGTGCAGGCCTGGTAAAGCAGTGAGCTGTGAAATGCTGCAGTTGTATTCTCCACATGTTTTATTGCAATAATATGGGAACTAATGCAGTTGCTGAGGTTGGATTTTTGGATCTCAGTGAGGGGTAAATCTGAGACTGTGGCATCAACTGCTTGTAATTACTGTGTTTGATTTGCTGCAGGATAGCTTCATGATCCCAGTTATCCATCAGTAGATTTTTCCAGATTCTTGTTGGTTGCGTGAGACTAAGCACAAGACAGCAGGCTGAGGCATATTTGGGCAAAAACATATTTCTGTAAACATTAATAAAAAACTAGTTAAAATTATTGATTGCACTCATTAGTGCAGGATGCAGAACTGTTGTATCACAGAATTAAGGTATTGGACTGTGACATCCTTACATTTTGTATATTCAACTCCCACTTCTCAGGATTATGGTGCACACATTTTCACTCCAGCATCCTACAAAACCTTCACTTCCAGCAAAATCCTGGATGTGTAAATGTACTTTGTGTAAGTTTTTATATTGCTGGGGTTTTCTGACTGCCATACACTTCCACATCAGAAAATGTATTTGTTCTGGATATTGCTGTCCTGATGAGCTGGGACCATAATCTGGGGTTGGAAAATTTTCATAACATTTAGATGCTTGATATTATTCACTGTTGTTGTTTCTGAGTTAAAATCCCAGAAAAGCAGGCATCTTATTAAAAATTGTTGTGTCATAATGAAGTTTTTTTTTTTAGCTGAAGTGAATTGGAGGTGGCAGAAAGGTATTTACAGTAAATTTTATCATCACCATTGTGTTTTTAATCATCAGTCCTTGAAAACAGACAGCCTTGATTAAAGACCAGCACTGATGCTGCATGTAAAATCTTTAATGAGTGAATTAATGAATAAATGACACTGCACTTTAGCATTTGGATTTCTTCTGTGGAACAGCAATAAAATCTGCAGCAAAAATTTACTTTAAGAAAAGTCCCAGTAAAAGTAATATTATCTGTTGTGTAAATCTGTCCCAGACTGTCATTCACCCTCCAAAGAGTGTCTCTTAATCCAGGTTTGATAATAACCTGTTGAAACCTTCTTTGGTCCTCACTTTGGGCAGATTTTCTCTCATAAATGTTAAGTATCAAGCAACTTCCATTCATGACTTTCCATTTGCTGTAACAGATGGACAGAGTGCCAAAGAAATGACTCCCTAATTTTACTTCATTGCCTTTTGATGGGTGCTTGTGTGCCCTTTTTGGACTGATGTGTGAGCAGACAGATGGAATTAACACCTGCAGTGATTTCTAGTCACAAAGTGCTTTGGTGAAGAGGCACAACAGCTCCAGAGGCTGGAGATATTTCTCTGCAGCAGGGTTTGAGCTCACACTGCCTTTATCATGGTGGGAAAGCTCTTGGGATTAGGTGATCCTGCCTGATTTTGAGGTGGCAGCTGTGTCCCTCAGGATGAGGAGGACAAGCAGGCACTTGGACATGGAAGTATGAGATAGTCCTTCTGACAGTTGGTTATTGACTTTCTAAAAAAATCCAGTGGTTTTATTTTTCCTGAAGGCTCTGAGTATTGATTATCTCTTGTTCTTAACATGGATGCAATCAAAAATGCTGTTGTGAAAAATCCTTCCAATACAAACCTTACCAGTGAAAAAAAAGAGTGAGGGTTTATTTTCATGCACATAATTGGAGGCATAACAACCTGTTTTAAATCCCCTTCTAACCTTTGAAAATTGATGTGTGTATTCTCTTAACTTGGTCTACATTTTGTGCCACAGGTTTCAGAATGAATGAAATAAAACTTCACGGCCTCTGCTTTTGAAGCTCACATACACACACACCTTCTCTGTAATGCCAAGTGCTGTAGTACAGTAGGTCCCCACAGACCCTTGCTCAGAGAATGGCTCATTCTGCTAATTTATCCCCTCTATTATGAATGCATAACAATAGAGATTAATTTTAGCTCTTTTGACTTCTAGGAAAATACTAAAGTACTAATTATTCCAAAGTAGCAGTTACATCTACAATTAAAGCCCACATTAATCTTCATGAAAATAATGTTTTTGCTTTAAACCCCAGATTTGAATAGCTGTTATTTTGGCTGATGGGATGGGAGAAAGTATTGAGCCAACCACATGTGTATGGGTTAGTTTAAAATACTCCTTAGGGCTTCTCTTCTCCAGTGCAGCACCCTGAGAGATTTTTTTTCTTAATAATTTAATCTTTGAACATGAATGGGTAGCAAGGAGAACGTAGACATGGTACTTTAGCTGCCAGACAGTAATTTTCAACTTGTCATCAGTTAACTGTAGATTGAGCCTTGGGCTCAGCACGTAGAGACTTAAGGAAGAAATCATTTCTTCAATTTTTCCTCTGCAGTGGTGGTGACCGTGGTGGCTTCAAAAATTACGGTGGTAAGTGCCGAGTATCCAAAAATGTTTCAGTGGAAATTCTTTATAAATCTAAAAGCCACCAATATCTTGTTACTATCTAGTAGAAGCATTATAGAGTTTTGGTGAGGCTGGTGTGTTCATGAGTTTTAATAGCCAAACTTGTAGCAATAAACTGGATTTCTACTTTGTCAAATTGCATGAAAGAATTTGTGGAGACAGTGACGTTCACCGGATTTTTTTTTTCTTTTCTTTTTTTAATTTTTGTTACAAATGCTTCTTAGAAAGGTAATAGAGGTAGAAAAAAAATAAAAAAAATGGGAAACTGCTTGGTGATGTGACAACCAGCATTTGCAAGCAAACACCAGCACAGCATCAGTGTGGCAACTGCCACATGCTGCAAGTTAAAGAACACGTTAACGTCCTACAGACACCTTCTGTTGAACGTTTAAATCTAAATATTCTCTAAATCTCTGGTTAATGTCTTAGCTCTTAGATGCATTGCATACATTCTTTGTATATTTTCTTGTTGCTAAAAAAGTCACTTGAATGTGTTGTGCTAAAAATAGTATTTTTTCTTTCTTTTTGTTTTTTTTGTTGTTTTTTTTTTGTCAAATCCATATCATAGGTCAAAGGGATTATGGACCGAGATCAGATGCTGGTAAGGAAACAAGCACTGAGTGGGAGTGGATTGTAGCTCTTAGGTCACTGCTTTTAAAATGTTTGTCTAGAAGGATGGATGTGGCTGCAATTCCCATGGCTCAAAAGAAACCTAGCTAAAGCATGCCTTCTGTGAAAGAAATGGATTTAATTGAAGTGCATTTGAATTTTTGGATGTTAATGCAGCAAGTAAGAATTTCCTGATGAATTCTGAATGTGCTTGAGCCAAGCAGCTGTCTTCACTGCCAACACTTCTGCTAAGCTTGTGTTATTTAAAACACACTGCTCTGGTGGGTTGGGATGCCCAGCTTGCATGAATGTTGGGTGTGAGGCAGGTCAGCTGTCCAGTGTACTCAGCTGATGGTGTTAGACTCAAAATTAAGCTCCCTGCTCCTCTTTTATTTCACACAAAATGTCTCTGGGATTTAAGGATCTGCTACTGGGCAGCACAGAGCTGAGCTTAAAATATTGCTGCAGTTTCTCCCACAAAAACACATGGTAAATGTAGCTTAATTTTCCACAGATTCAGAGTCTGACAACTCTGATAACAACACCATCTTTGTGCAAGGACTCGGAGAGGATGTTTCAACAGATCAAGTGGCAGACTATTTCAAACAGATTGGTATCATAAAGGTATGTGAAATGAGAAATCATGGGTCAGAAGGAAGAAAACTAGTGGAGCCAGGGTACTGGAAATGTACTGGTATCATTCAAGGCAGAGTTCTCTCTGACCCCCCAGCAGTTGTAGATAATATTTTATCTGGGTTCCCAGCTGACAGCTCATTTGTAAGCTGGCAGCACTAGCAACGTTTCTCCTAGTGACATTTAGATTGCTTTGTGTCTCTTCTTTAGTCTTTATAGCCCTGACACTCTATCCATTGTGCCATCCTCGTACTGCAGCATGTCTGACTCTGTTCTGTGGCTGCTGCTTCTGGTTCTGCTATTCTAAATTAGGATTTTGTGCGCTTGACCTCATTTTTTTGTTAAAACTGGGCCCATCATTTCTTCATGGAGAAGAGCCAGTCAGTATCCCTCTGTTTCTGCAGGCCAGCTCCAGGAGAATATTCTCACTAAACATATTTAGTGTTCTAGTTTATGCTCTGAGCTGATTTCACCAGTGTTTCTGCTATGCCAAGTGTACAACCTTTGTTTTTCAGACCAACAAAAAGACTGGCAAACCCATGATAAATCTGTACACAGACAAAGATACTGGCAAGCCAAAGGGAGAAGCCACGGTATCTTTTGATGACCCTCCTTCTGCTAAAGCAGCAATCGACTGGTTTGATGGTGGGTGAGAGTTACCTGTGCCTTTGGCTATTTATGAATCTAACAGGCAGTGGAAAAAGCAAATCAATTAACTTTTTATTACCTTTTTGGAGGCTCAGTGCTGCTATTTATGTAGCTTTTGGCTTGTGTTTTTTGGTTCTGTTTTTGGGATTTTGGTTAGGGTTATAGTTGGTTTTTTTTCCTTAAACAAAGACCTGTATTTCATGGTTTCTTGTATGTGTTGAAGTTATGTTTCATTAAACAGCAGATAGTGATTTAGTCCGAAAATGTGCTGTGAAAATGAGGGTTTACTGCTGTACCTCAGTCACCCATGCACAACATACAGGAGGTGGTGTTTGTGTCACTTCTTGTTTAGACCAACAGAGCTGTAATCTGTGTTAGCAGCTGGAGGGATTCCCTGCAGTGTTGCATTGATATTTTTAGTGTTGTGGGAACATTTTTAGGGTTTGGGAATGGTTATGGCAATCTTGTGCTGAGTGCTCTGTATATACACAATGAAGAACAAGGTTTTAAAATTAGGGATTTATCTCAGAAATATATTGGTGTAAAACTCCTCAGACTGCAGGAAATACAGTGACAGTCTTGTAGTAAGAAACTCAAGGGGATGAGGGAAAAGTGCCTTCTCCTGTCAACTTGTGTGTTCACAGAATTTTAGTGATACTAGCTAGAAAAAAAAATCATCACATCCAAACTACTTTACCCATGAGCATGGCCAAAAATCTTTTAGACATTCTTATGTCTTTAAATTGCAACTTAGAGATCTCATTTAAACTGAAATAGTTGTGGGTTTGTAGAGAGTTTAGCAAGTATATCAGTGTTTCCATCTCACCTTTGGACCAGTGCTTTCAAAACCAGGAGATTTATTGCAGCTTCCCCGTGTCTTAAAAGTTTTGTGTTCAGTCTGGGTGTGCAAATCCCTTCTGCTCTGCTGGGCTTGCTGCTGTGTTGTTGGGAACTGTATTGATCCCTTCTCTTCTCCCACAGGAAAAGAATTCAATGGCAACGTTATCAAAGTTTCTTTTGCAACCAGAAGACCTGAATTCATGAGAGGAGGCGGAGGTGGCGGGCGTCGAGGTGGGTCTAAAAGTCTGTAGGATCCTTGGTTTTGCACAGTTAAATGCTTTTTCACTATGATTGATTTATTAAAGTTGACTTTGAAGCAGTGATTCATCAACTATATGAGCCTTTGGGTTTCTGCCAGGAAAGGGAGTAATAAGGATTGAACCCAGTTAAGTAAACTGAAATCTGTAATCTCTTCTGAGCAGAATTTATGCTTTCCTTTAGAACTGGAAGGTCTCCAGATCTTGTGTCAGCTTTGCTTTTAAAGAGAAAGTGTAACGGGGATGTTGAGCTGTACTAGCCCCACATACATAGAGGGAAATTCCCAGTGAGTATTTGCTTGTTACAGCAAAGCCTTGAGATACTCTGTTTCCAGCTGGGATTAAGCAGGGTAGGTAATTCAGATGCTGCTGAATTGGAACAGCAGTTAGATTTCTGATTCTTTTAATCAAGGTCATATCAATCTCCCTGATTCTCTGCATATACAGTTTTGTCAGTAATCCACTGGGTATTCATTACCATTTTCCAGGAATCTTGCTTTGAGCAGTGACTGTCAACAAATTCTAGTTCTGAAATCAGGCAGTTCTGTAGGCTGATGGAAAAGGATTCTTTGACAACTTCAGCTGGTATAAAAGTTCTTAATTTTGTGATGCAGAAAGCAAGAACGTTGTCCCTGTGCCTGTGTCAGAGGCATCCTGGGATTAATTGAGACAGACTTCTTTTATTGTTAAATTTTTGCTCTGTGGCTAGGTCTGGTCATAAGTGACTGATCTTATACCTTGTTAAATCTTTCTGAAATTTTATTAATGCATGTAGTGGGTTTATATTTAGCCAGTGGCAATTCAGTCAGATCAGGTTTTCCTTTACTGCTGAAAAAGAATTTATAATAAATAGTGAGAATATATTTGCATTAAACACTCCTGCCTGAAAAGTCTGTCACTTGGGGTCTGAAGGCAGTGGCAGTCTTTGATACCTGTTTGTCATGTGCAGTCCATAGGACTTTGTAATGATTATAATTTTGTCTGCAGGTTCACGAGGTGGCTATGGAAGAGGTGGGGGCTTCCAGGGTAGAAGTGGGGAACCCAAAAATGGTGATTGGGTTTGTCCTAACCCGTAAGTGTCATTTTAATTGGGATGGGGTGTTTTATGTGTGCTTCATCTTCACAGCTCAGTCTGGGGAATCCTTGTCTGTTGCAGGTCCTGTGGCAACATGAACTTCGCTCGCAGGAATTCCTGCAACCAGTGCGGGGAGCCCAGACCAGAAGATTCACGTCCATCAGGAGGTGTGCAAAAACAGCTACACCTCTTAAATGTTTCAAGTGTCCATATCATCTGCATCTTTCTGAAAAAGCTGATGTGTTTTCTGTGGTTTTCCCCAGATTTCCGTGGGAGAGGCGGCTACGGAGGAGAGCGGGGCTATCGAGGGCGCGGCGGCCGAGGCGGGGACCGGGGAGGTGGATATGGGGGCAAAATGGGAGGAAGGTAAGAGGAGCCTTTGCCCTTGCTTGGCTGTGGGATTGATGGAGACTGTGGGAAAAGGATTGTTTATGTGTGCAAGTACAACTGCCATGAAAATATTAACTACAGATAGGAGCTTCCAGAGAGAATCACTCAGTCTGGCTGTTGAGTTTTGTGAATGTTTCTGGATGAGGCTCTCTGTAAACACAGAGCAGCACACAGACGTCATTGTAGAAATGTTTGACTGAAGGGACTGTTTGTTATTTGCTTCATTTGTTACTTGCTTAGAACCTTTTCTTTCCCTTCCAGAAATGATTTCAGAAATGATCAACGCAACAGACCATACTGAAGACCACTGTGAATGTTTTGTTTGTCTTCTTGATGCGTTTGATAGTGAAATTGCCTGCAGCTTCACCCATGGCCTCTTTCGATAGTGGAATTGAGTGAAACTAGATTTTTATTTTGGTGGGAGGGACTGGGGTGGTTTGGGAGGATTTTTTTTTTAAGCAAGACATTGAAATTTAATCCTAATTTCCACATTCTCCTCTTTTCTTCCCTTTCCCCCATACCTTTTCAACAGGCCCTAAGAAGGAAAAGGATGAACTGTAAAATATTGCCAAAATATGAAGTGTTTTGTAATACAACAATAAATGCTGATTGTTTTATTTGTGAAATCGTACTGTTTCACAATTACTTGAGTTGCATGCATTTGCTTACATATTCCCAGTGTTCCTGTGGTATGGCTTAAGCAGCAAATAGGCACTTGTTTGGAGTGGCACTGCAGCTCTGACCCAAGTGTATGCACAGAATCTTCAGTCAGGTCAGTGATGAGCCTCCTTGCTATCCATATCCTCTATCCTGGATTTGCAGACTTGTCCCCTGCTCCTTCCCTTTTTCCCTCCTGTGATGCCTGTATACCTGCTTTGGTTGCCCTGCACCGTGAGGGGAGCAGGCAGCCAGCAGTGTGAGTGTGTTCTGCTGCTGCCAGGGGGCAGAACAGCTCAAAATCCAATTTAAAAAAAAAGTGATTTGCTACAACTTGCTGTACTTGCTGCTTTTGGAACATGGGTGATGGAAACAAGTGTTGTGTGCAGCTGCTTCATGCTGGAGGTCAGATGCAGGTGAGGTTCAGTAGGTGCAGTGTGAACATTTGTGATTCAGCTCTGCAGCCAAGGGAGAGGAAGGGAGGGAGGTTAATTATCCCTCCTGTTCAGATAGGTCACTGCAGAGGTGAGAAGGGGCACTGCCCCCATCAGGTCATGGCATCACAGGCCTTTGAGAAAGAACCTCTGGCTGTCCAATATTCCAGTGGGCAGCACTATCAGTACAAGTTATTGGGGTCTGTGGTTCCAACTGGGCACAGAGCTGGGCCATATCTCACTGAGAAATGAACAGAAACAGCTTTTGTTCAGGGTTACGAGCCACCTCCTCAGCTTAGTGTGTATTGATGGTTATAATGGAGTTCAAATCAATATTACCCAGGGTTGTAAATGTGGTGACTGCTGGACCTTTTTCAGGTTTCTGCTGTAAAGCATCTGCTCTATTAGAAAAAAACATTTGTAACAGATTATGGACAGCTTGTTCCTTTTAAAACAATAGAATTTGAGGTATATATGTGCTAGTGACAGTATCAAATCCAGTGTATGGTATATGAGGGTTCAGAAAGTTGATGAATTCAGCATCTGTTGATTTGCTGGCCTAGAAAAGTTGGATGCTGATGGTTTTGAAGTTGGAGTTACTGTTTGGAAGGAAGAGGCTAGAGGGTGCTCTTGCCCACCGCTGTGCTGGCAGATGCAGGAATGGTGCCAGCTGGATGGGATGGAAGGAAAGCAGGAATCAGCCGCTGAGAGCAGCCTCAGTATCCCTGCTGAGGTTTGTTCCCCAGCAGAGCTGTCACCTTGCACTGCACAAACAACTCCTGAGGGTGCAGCTGGAGCCCTCAGAGGGGAGCAGAGAACTGGGAATGGCTGAGCTGAGCAAGCCCAGGGCTGGTGCAGCATCCCCCTTCTCTCTGCAGTTTCCTGGTGGGGCTCTGGCTTTTTCCCTCCTGGAGAAGGGCTTGGTGGTTCAAGCAGCGCTTCCAGTACTGGGAGCAACAGTTGTAGCTGCCTTTAGTGCCAACTCAGCTTCCAACCCTGCCTTCTCCCCCAGGCTAAGAGCTCTTTCTTCTTCAGTCACTGCCCAGGATTACCAAGTAGATGAGTCTTCAAGTGAGCCACAAAACTGGAGCTGTCACCACCTTCTCAGCTGTTCCACCTGGCAGTGGTGCTGAGCACTTGTTTATGTTCTGTGCTGCACTGGGGCAGAACAGCCTGAGTTCTTGCATGTTTTTTAAGAGACCTTCAGAAGCTGCTTGGTCTTTCAGAAAATCAGCAGGACAGAGAAACTGTACTGGCTTGGTGGGTTGTTTTACTTGCCTTTGGTGCAGTGAGAGTTAAATTAGCTTAGAGAGGCCTGGGAAGATGTTCTGTAAAAAAATATAAACCCAGATGATGGTTTAACTATGTCATTGCCCTCCAACTTCTTCTGCTAAGTCCTTTGGTCCTGCAGGTTTTCTCCACAGCTGGCTAAAATTTGTCAGGACAAGCTTTACTTGAAGTTAAAAGGAAAGTAAAAAACTTTTAAAAATGTAGTATATTAAGGACTGAATTAATTGTAGTTCTTCCCAGTGCTGTGTGAGGATTTGGTAGGACTTCCTATAATAAAATTCCCAACTGAGGAGGGATAGGACAGTAGATCTGTCCTGACAGGAGGTGGAAAACCAGGAGAATCTATCTCAACAGAAAGGAGCAGTTTGTTCTCAGCATAGCTGGGAGCAGCTCTGCTCTACTGCCTTCAACTCTATTTATGCTCCATCTTCCAATAATACATACTCTTAGTGGCAAGGGTTTTGCTTTGGAAATCAGTTCTGTGGGGAATGCTGGTGCTGTATTTATAAAAACAGGTCTAGCACTTGCCAAGTTCAACAAGGACTTGGTGGAGAAAAGAGGGATGCCAATGCAGGAGTGGCATGTGATCCTTACAGAGCTGAAATGCCACTCCAGTATAAAATAATAGCTAAACATTTTCAGAGACACACAAATAGTTTCCATGCTGGGCCTCTGCAGCCAAACTTACCTCACCCTGAGAAGAAATGCAACTTTTAAGTTGCTCAAATACCACAATCCTAAAGAGAGATATGGAACAGTGAGTGAAGCCAATCTCTCGGGAGTTTGGCGGATCCAGCCAGTGCTGGTTTTGCCTAATCTAGAGTTGATAATTCCCATTTCCAGGGTAACTGAGCCCGTGTGATGATGTCCCAGTCAATGATGTTGCTAATGCTGCTGTAGCAGCTGCTTGTAAAGCTGTTGTAATAAAATACAGCTGTCAGAATGCACTCAAAACTGCTTAAAACTCCACTTTTCATACCAAGGTGGTGATTGCTGGAGCTCAGGTGCCTCCCTGATCCTAGAAAGAGATGCATGAATTTGGCTGTTTGCCGAGCAAATACCAATGAGATTCAAACTGCTCCAGAAAATCGGTGTTTTCGTGGGAGGCCTCATCAGCTGGATGCAGCTTCTTGACCTCACTGACTTCCAGGAACTCTACACACAAAAGGTAAAGCCAAGGGAAGTCTGCAGACTTAGCATTTTCTCTGTAACACCCTTGTGATGTCTGTTCCTGGCTCTGTTTGAGACAGGATACTGGGCAAGACAGACTTTCTAACACATTTTAAAGGACACAGGAAGGTCCTTTGACCTGTGAGAACTTAGTGTGCACAAATGAAGTACCCAGAAAACTGAGCAGAAAAGCTTCACTCTTGTGGCAGCCCAAGGAACGTTAAGCTGCTTGTGCCTTGGTAAAGAATTTGACTCTTGCAGGCTGGGGTTGGGAGGGAAAGCTGTGACTGGGCCCATCTGACCTGATCCAAAGTCCCAACTGTGGCCACTTTCCAGCAGCAGGATGAGGATTTTGGACATTGCCTGGCATGGCACCCACTGAGCCATCCTGCTGCTGTACAGCAGCAAACATCCGAAGAACTGCTCTTCTTAAAAGGATGAAAAGGAACAACTTGAACCTGTTTTCAGTGCAGAGCTTTAAAGGTTTTTGATGGTAGGTTCTTGTGCATCACATCCATCTCGGTTAGGAACTGCCACGGAGGAGTAACAGGGTTGCTATTTGCTTATCAGTTACAATAAACACTCAGAGCTGCTCTGAGAAAGCTCACAAGAGCTGTTTCATAATGTTGGTTTATGAACTCTTGGATCTCACCCCAGACAGGGATCCACTGGTGCTTCAGTGCTTCTCTCTGCAATGCTCAGCTGCTCTTGATGTGGCCCTGTGGACAATCCAGCCTCCCCCATGCCGGACTCCACACCTGTGGTGACCACATTTAGTTCTCTGGGATGTTTACAGGTCAATATGCAAATGATATTAAATTAGGAACACTGGTTCTCTGAGCTGGGAGGTGTCTTTAGGAAAGGGTTTGGAAATTGAGCTCAGTGAGTGCACTGAGATCTTTTGAGTTAAACTCAAGGGAGAGGAGGGACTTTCTCTAGAAACCCAAGAAATCGGGAATGATTAGGCAACCAGAGCTTGTAGAGATCTATTTATCATATTCTTTGTGAATGCTTTACAAAAGCATTTGTTGGTTCTCTGCCACAGGCATGACTGGTTAGGTTTCAGTTTTGGGGTAGAAGTTACAAGGACTGAAACTTTTTTTTTTTGCCTCATTTCTGAGTTTTCACCTACTGAAGAACTGAAGAAGCCGGAAATCTGTTCACCTTTCCATGAGATAGTATTTCTGTTCTTTTATCTGTTTGTTGGATTGGTTTCTTTGGGTTGGTTTCTTTGTGTTTGTCATGGAGTTACTTTACCTTTAAGGGAGTTGGAGTTGCTGGGAAGTGCTTGGAGTCTTTTCTCCTGACCAATTATCGGTCATTGCTGGGAATTGACAGCAGTTTAGGCCATTGAAAAGTAAGATCAACTTGTGAACCCTACCTTAAAATGTAAAAGCAGAGCTCTCTGGGTTCTCTTTGTTTCCTGGCTGTGGAGGGTGGCAGAGCTCCAGGCCTCCCGTCCCTGCCCAGGCCATGCGGCCGGGCGGGGATGGGGCCGGGCCTGCCCCGTCTCCCGGCCGGGAGATGGGGGGGTCTGGGGAAGGTTTTCTCCGGGCCGGGCCGGGCCGATCTCTGGCTCGGCTGCAGGTTTTGCTGTAACTACATTCACTAGAAACTGCCCAGTGAAGAAAGAGAGAAGCTCTGGACTTGCAGCGGGTTAGAACAGCGACCACACGCTCCAGAGCAGCCATGAGGAACTTTCCATCGCAGACGGCTCCAGCTCCTGTTCAGCAGAGATCCCCAAACCATCTACAAAAGCCTGGGCAAGATTTTAACTCTTTCATTACCCAGATGAGACTTGCGGATTAATCTTTTTATCCAGAGAGAGAGAGAAAGAAAGATCAACATGAAAAGAGACTTTATAAACTACCAGTGACAAGAAAGAAAAGAAGCTTCAGGAAAGGTAGAGAATTAAGAAGATGCTTTAATTAAGCTGAAATATCTCCCTGTTAAAACTATGGAGATGGACAATGAAGTCCTGAAAAGAACTCCTTTAATTCATGATACAGGATCTAGAGAGGAATAGTGTTCAAAGTGTAAATTTGAGTAAAGAGTAATTATAGTATAGTGAAGTA